ATTGAAAGATGTTTTGCGTTTTCAATATTAAGTACCATACTTAAAACAGAAATATTTTAATTATAAAAACGACGCACCCTTCTCTTCAATAATTTACAACTCTGGAGTGTCACAATTGTAATAAAATTTTTAAATTCGAGGAAACAAAATAAAAATAATTGTGAAAACTGGTTTTTTGAGGACATCAATGTCTGCTTTACCGAAAAGGTTTTAATATCCTTGTTCTGTGAATAAGTTTTAAGCATTTTAGAGTTTAGATGTTTGAACCACAGTCTTTATATTATTACTAGTTTTCGCTTGCGACTCCGTCCGTGCGGTATTAAAAAAAATGCGTTCTTCTAGGCTATCTTCTACATCTATACCAAATTTCATCGAAATCCGTTCAGGCGTTTAGGCCACAAACTCTAACAAACATCCATTTATCCATCCATCCATCTAAACTTTCGCATTTATAATATTAGTATGATTTATTATTCACTTACATATATTATCATGACTTAAATTACATGAAACATCAAACTCTATTTAATATTTCAAATATTACATTAAAAATATGCCAGAATGTACTGTACATTAGGCACAAAACTATTTACACAACTGTTTCACGTCTGTTTATCTATGATTTAACAATGTTAAAAAACAAATTGTTGTATTTTTAAGTTATCATTACAATATTTTCGCAGCACCCGTAGAAGTCTTTTTCTTAGCGGTTACATTTGCTAACGAGTGATTAATTAATTTAGGGGTAAAATGATATTAATATACCCTATTTAAGTTTAAAAGATATTTTCTAGCAAGAAAAAAGTGATATTTCATTTATTTTATGTAACTTTGATCTGATTACGATAACAAGATTAATATTATTTTTAAAGAATTTCCACGTGTTAAGAAATCTTGTCGGCTGTTTATTTTAAGGCCAATTGAATTCCAGTTTTAATTGCAACAGAATAATATAAGAATTTATATATTATGAAATATTTATTACAAACATTTGTTGAATTTGAACACGAATATATTTGTTTTAGTAATTAAATTCCTACAAATGTATTTTTCTGCAGGTTTCTGACTATTTAGAATTAGAAAACTCCAATTGTCTAAAATTTAAGTCAGTTAACTCAATACCATTTCCAACAAAAACACATCATTGTAGATATAAAAGTCAGCATATTCATACCTCTGTACAATATATTCCAATTTAAAATTATCACAAATCAGTTTATTTTTAACCACATTAATGTTGCGAAGGCACATTAATATCACATTAGTATTATTTCAATGCAACGGGCAAAGATTTAAACATAAATAACTTATAAAGAAGTACTTACAAGTTCGCATCTAGGTGTGGTCAGCCTTGCAAGCTTCTGTTGTTTTTATAATAATTTATTGACAAAGCCTATCATCATCTCCCCTGCCTTATCGTACTCCCGTAGGGTCGGCGCACCGGATTTTCGTCCTCCAAAGCACTCATCACTTCCTTCTTGATCATGTCACCTTTCACGCAATCCATCCATCTCTTTCTAGGTCTACCTTTACCGATGTACCCCACATAACTAACGTCCTTCTTGTTACATGCGATTCATCCCTTCTCATAACATGCCCATACCACTCAATACCACTTATTGACAAAGCCTGTAGAAAAATAAAATGCTTGCTTAATGTGACATTTTAGAACATACATTTTTACTAATATTTCTATAGCGATATTTCTTAACATTTGTCTATTTTTTTTCTGACGTTTCTTATGTTTTATTTCAATTAAATTAAATACAAATACCACATTAAAATATCTAACATTTTATTCAATTAAACTTTTTAATAACTATGTTGTTAAGGATCTTTGACAATATAATAAACGACATATATGTAGATAAAAACTATTACAAGGAAATAATCTACAAGGTAAAATAAAAAACAGGATGCTAAAGGGCCTAATTCCCTTATACAATATGTAGTACTTTAAAGCGTTGACCATAAATCAGTTCAATGATTAAGCATGAGTGACCGTCTTACGAATTACAAAACCTAACGAGCACTATTCAACGTAAATAGCACATAACATTCCGATCAACAATATAGCATTATGTAGCAAAGGTTGCTTGTGAATTGTACATTAGCGAAAATGTTCCATCACTGATAAGCTATTGATCCCATAGATGTCAAATAATGTCATGTCAATGCATTTCAATCAAAATGTATTCATAGTTTTGATAAAACGATATTCGTGCCAATTTGTTACAGTTAGTGGATTCACAGAATTTGAATTATTATTTTTGTATCGTTTAGTGCAATTCGAATATTTGAATTTGATAAAACGCAATTATAAATTTTTGAGGGAAATGTGTAAATAAATAGAGGCTTAAGTTACAAATTTAATTGCCTAATTTTCATTAATAATATTTTTGCCTGGTACTAACAACCCAGTAAGGCACTAAAATAATTTTCTAACGTCAAAATTTTTGTATGTACATCTAGCAACTCTAGCCAGTCTCCGAAACATTACTCATTTTCTGAGAATAATCTCATTTCTGCTTAAGATTTGAGGTAATAACAGTTTATTTTAGAGGCAATTGACTTTATGACCCGCTCTAGTATATAAACTGTAAATTCTTAAGACCATTTTGAAATTTCGGGATGGATGGATGGAATTTGGAACAGAGATAGAGAATACTACTGTATTATCGCCTAGACTAACTAGTATTTTTTTAATCTCGCATAAAAATTCGCAAGTAGTTTCGATAGCAAATATACCTCGTAGTAAGAACAAGTTACAAAGTTATGCAGCATAAGTTTTACTTTCAACGGAGAATCCGTGGTGTAGCGGAACATTATTGAAAGTGAGATTCGCTATCATTATCACGGAGCCGGAAAGAAACAAAAACACGCTAACAATCCCAATTGGCTGTTATGTAATAACACAACCAAACACGCCAACGTGTTTTCATTGTGTCAGGGCTGTACAAAACAACTAACTGAATAACAATGTCTGCAAAACTAAAATTATAAAATATTCAGTTTATTTCCTTCTTTCTATCACAAGGTTCTGTACTCATTTCTTCTTAAGCTTAGTTTTAATATCTACTTAATGGCTAATAGATCCTAAGCAATAAACAAGACTCAGTTTACTTCCATTTTCTAATAATCTAAATTCAGGTGGTTTAGTAAAAGTATGGAAAAATGAAATAATCGTAAATTCTTCCATTAATTTTTATATATACTTTTGCATGTACTAGGAATTTTATCAAATTAAAAACGATATAACACAATTACAGTTATGTTATTATTAATTCATTTTTCACAGCCCTAGTGTAAGAAGAAGTCTACGAAATTATTTTCAAAGTTTTTGTATAAAACAACGGTTTATTTAGAGCTAGATATCCGCGGGAAAATTGCTAGTGTACGAGTAAAAACAAAGTTCGGTATACACGGGACGGTGACCACGATGATTGATGCGACTATGACAGAATTTTGCATTTTAAACCTTAATTGCTCCTTCATAGAGCAAATTTTCCATTGTGTATTAGAGAAATTCTCACTTCAATGTAGAGGTCACTAACATTGTAGATGTTCTATACGTAAATAATTTATGTATGTTGGTCGATGTCCCGTAATAAAGTAATTGTTTGTTCAAGTATCGATTTATGAAAATCGAATCGACAGAAGTTGTATATTCAGGGCCTGTCCCACCGCTGGCTGATAGAGGCTCAGATAGCTTAAAAATGACGTCTTTGACAAAATCCGATATTTCCAGCACATATTTTACACGTTGTATTGTTATCAGATAATTTACAATTTTATGGGACAGGCCCTAAATAATATAAACAATTTTAATTGCACGAGGTCATCTTTTAAAAGAATTATTATTATGACAATAACTCTAACATTAAACCAAATTAAACATATATTTCACTTTAGTCAAAGTTAATTTTCGGAAATTAATTTTCTATTATAAAAAATGACCCGTTTTAATATATTTTAGAATTTATCTGAGATTACGTAAATCTTATTTAACAAGCATAAAAATGCCACTTTAAGTTTAAAACAAGCAATTAAACAAACTCATATGCTCCAAGTAAGAAACAAATATCTAGAGCGGAACAAAGTTGCGGCCACACTGAGCGATGTCATTACAACGTTGCCAAATCTGGATTAATATCTGAGACATTAGCAATCTCAGCTTACAAAAGAACCACACCATAACACAAGGTCAATGTTTAAAGTGTCGCAAGTTAAATAAAGACAAAGTATGAACCGTAACTAACTGGACATGTTACAAACTTACATTATTTCAACCATCAGTTTTTACTACAAAAACATCTGAACATGCCTGTCTTTATCTCATCAAAGGGAATGAAAGAGATAGCATGTTGATGTAAACGTATGTCGACAGTGTAAACCAACGGTAACAATAACTTTAAACAATGTCTTCGACACCTTAGCACAAGACTGTTATCTCTTTGTGTAACGGGATCTAAATGAGACATTTCAAAGAAATGTTACACGAAAAACGGTAGTGGACATACAAAAGAATAGTTTAAAATGTTGTGGTTTAAACTTGAACTTGGTTCAACCTTACTTTTACTCCTCTTTAATTTCATCATCATCATCAGCCTTTCTTTGCCCACTGCTGGGCATAGGCCTTCCCCAATCCCTTCCACAGAATGCAATCCTTATTCCTCTTTAATTTATCTTCACTAAATTTAAAACCGGTCGCTATTTGCAAAAGCGATTAAGTGTATACGAAAATTTATTTCTAAAATATTGATGATTAAGTTACTTGAGATTTCCACGTTTTATTACGGTACTAGCTGTTGCTTGCGAGTTCGTTTACGTACAATTAAAAAAAATAGCATGTTACTCAGCGATAACGTAGGTTTTTAATATTGAAATAATTTTTCAAATCGGCCCAGTGGTTTTACAATACATACAAATCTGTCCTCTTTATAATACTTGTATACATGTACCAAATATTCCTAATACTAATAGATTTTTTTTTTTTACAGGAACACATACAAGAAGTATTGGACAAATGGACACAGATCGACGACGAAATCTGGGCGAAGGTGATAGTGTTTGAGAAGAATCGACGCGTGGCGAAAGCGTATGCGCGTGCGCCGGTACTCACTATCAATGGATCTGACGACGGTTTTGACGGCATGAGGTCAGTCATATTTCTCTACCTAATAGTTTATATTTCAATAGTAATTTGTTTTCACTAGTGAAATGTGTGCATAAATTTCTACAGTAACTTTTGTCTCGACATGATTCGAACAAAAATACAGCCGATATGTAAAATTCCCTTCAACGAAAACACTTATCGCATTTTTAACGTTATGGAATTGAAAAATTATCCGCACGTGGCCGCTTTACATTCTACGTGCCAATGCTGAACAGTTATTGATTACGAAGTCTTTGAAGTTATTACTGCAAAAGTATGTCTGTAATAAATATTTTAACAAACTAATAAATCTGAAATAGATGTCAAAACATGTACAAAACTTACATTGCAGTATTTTTTTAAAACTTAGATTTTGCACGTAATAGTTTATGGAAATACAATTATAAAAGCAGGTGCATTAAACTACAATTTTAAGGGCCTGTCCCGCCAGATAGTAATTTGTCTGATAACAATCGAACTTATCTGACAGTGACGTCATTTTTAACCTATCTGAGTCTCTATCAGCCAGTGGTGGGACAGGCCCTTAGTTGCCTAAAGAAACATTCCGGTTAACTTTACATAAAGTTAAAAGATCTAAACGCTAATCAACATCTTAGTAAACGTTCAAATATATAAAAGTGTACAACAACACGTTAACAAATGTGTTACAAAAATAAAATATTACATAACTCATTTCATATAAAAGTTGCAATTTTTATTTTTAATTTTTGTTATAAAGATATTTAATAAACGTTGTTAACAAAAGACGCGGGTGTAGCGAAGCGTGCCAGAAACAAGGTCGCTAAGTCGGCCATTACCGAAGTTTCACAGTTTCACCGGTTTTTTAATGTTAATAACTTTATCAGATCTACACGAGTTCGTATGATAGTGAAAGTGCCTCAGCTGTACAGTGTTAGGCAATCGTGCGTACAAAAATGTCGATAAGTGATTCGATTAGCACTTCTGTCGAAACTTGCTCTATGATACAACTTAGAAATTAAAAATACTATTACTTCGAAATATGTTATACCAGAATTTCAACTATTTAAGTACAGAGATATACAAGGAATTTATATACAAACTAAACATACATATTTTCTTGATTCGATGCAAGATTTTATATTATTTCTAACTATTGAAAATTTTATCTCATGTATATTAAGGGTATCAAATCAATTTTTTCAATTTTTTACATTTGCTTACAATTCCCTTATATGTAAATATTTTTTTAGGAAACCAATGCGTTTTCCTCAATTCTGTGTACCTATCACAAGGATGAGAAATCCATTTATGGTAGGTTTAATGCACTTAATACATTTAATGCACCCTTAAATGCACGATTTTTTCCTTTTAAATACCATAAATTAAAAGGGGTAGTGAATTGAACATAGATTAAGGAAAAACAAAGATTTTTTTTTTTCAAAATAGTCTATTGCGTATAGAAGAAAAGACTGATGTATAAATGCAACATCATGCATTTAAGGTATAAATTTTTTATCGAAACATATTGACACATTATCAATCTGAAGTAAAAGTAATTTTTATTTATTTAGTAGCCTCTAAAACTTAGAATAGACCACCCACGTTCATTTAATAAAATATAAACTGCAATGATAAATCTAACTTCCAATACAACATGGTCGTATTTGATATAATTATACTCTAGAGGAAATAAATTAAAGACAAAGAGGCGTTTGTTGGCGATGTGATCAACCCGGGATATCTTAGTTGCGAGTAATGACACGGAAGTCTAGCTGTATAGATCATCGAGCGCCTGTATATGCTAATGGTGATTTATTTAATGTAAGTTAAGAAAGTAAGCATTTGCAGGAGAAACAAAATTATCACATGGAATTCTACACTTACTTACTGCGTTGGCGGAGCAACCCGAAGTAGGTCTTCTAATTCTATACAGGGTGTTTAAATAGAATGATGTTAGTGTGTTTAAATGGTATTGTATTTTTTCAATAATTTATTTTAATAGTAAATTAATAATCAATAAGACTGTAAAACTAATACGCTAATGCAAATAAACTACCACTATAAATCTTAACTGTTAACTAGAAATAAAAAAAGATTTATTCATACTTCACAGTTTACTTAAGAAGTTACCTTAAAACTTAAAATAATAGACATTTTAGTAAATGTGAATAAAGCCTTATTTAAAATCTATTTATTGTTTTAGTATTAATAGGATGATCTAAATTCAATTTGTTTTATGCGAGCAGTAAGTAGGAAGTGTCGGACGTGGACGTTCGTGCGCTATCAGATGCACACACACGAAAATCGGCATTTTAATGAAAGTCAGAGCTCCCGCAGGCTCATTTAATTAGTCTCGATCTAATGTACGCGGAGTCTAACAGGGAACAATAAAGATCGAACATTCCCTGGGGTAATAATTAGGACTGGTTCACGGATGTCTGATAGGGAAATGGCCCTTTTATTTGAATTAGAAGTTACTAAGTAGCCGCTACTGAATTTGCAATTTGTTAATTGAAATTCTTTTTCGTTTAATTCTATAGTTTTTCTAAATAAATTTCATGATAAGATATAGAATTTCATTTTATCTGTTATTTAATACGGCGGTCGGAATATATGCATTTTTTTGAATTTTACATTTCATTAAATGACCATTTCAATCAGCCAGTGACCACCACAACAACAACAAGTAATGTTGGCCACCTGGCGACAACAGATGTCTCTGATATCATTTTCTAGCGCACACGATAATTTGATCTCAGAGAGGCACTCAATGACATGCATACAATTTATGACCATCGACTTAACGCCTGTCTTGTGACGTAATAATGCGGAATGTACAACATTTTAAAACCTTTACATTTAGTATTCGTACGTATTTATTTTTTAACCTATGTTGGGTAGTTTTTATTTGTACTGGAGAGCTGTCATAATACTTACTTACAGTTATTGCCTGTAATCTATTTCGTTGAATTTACAGGTTTTGCTGAATAAGGAGTCATTTAAGTTACTTTTCCTTAATTACGGGAAGTTTTAGATACAAGATTGTCTCACGATTAAATTAAAAAAGATTTTTTTAAGGACATTTCCTACATTCTAGCAGTCGAAGTGCAAACAATTCGGTTGGCGCGGTCGCATAGGTATTGAGTTTCGCAACAATATCTGAATGTTATTGTTTATTGTCTTCTTATCGATATCTACGTGCTTTGTTAGTGTTGTGCGGAACCCGCGAGTTCAGCACACAATGGTCCCGCTAGCCTTGCTTTTTGTGGAACTAAAGCGTGGTGGTATATGTCGTTAATTTAGAATTATCTTGATAAGGTAATTTAAATGTGTTTAATACATGCCAGTAATGAAATAGATAATTATTATAGGCTTATGAATTATGTTTACTTCAAGTTTTTGTTAATAAATCTTAATAAAATCCAATTTCTTTGTAATAACTTATATGTAGTTGAATGGGTATGGTGTTGCCATTTTTTTTTTAAAGTACTACTCGTACTATTTACAAAAGTTTTAATTAAGGAACATTAACTTTTTTTATACTTTTTTAATCTTAATAGAAATGATACCATTTTTATTTCCGGCACGTTGTATATTTAAGTGAATTTACTTTGAAATAAAAGTCATATCAAGATAAATATGAAATGCGCCGTAACGTGGCATGATATAATTGTTTGATACGACACGATTATAGCAGGGGAGTCGGTTCGAAAGTGGGCCGACATTGAGGTAGGCTTTTGCAATACTTCTCATTGCCCGGCGTCAACGAATTTGTTGCAGATGTTATGAAATTGATAATTTTTTATGTTGCAATAGCATGACACATTAACCAATAACTATATTAAACAAATGTAATATTTAAAAACACTAAAATTATTAATATTTACTTAATCATTCCCTTAGGATGGAAATCGTTTCTCCCTTTTTAACTATTTTAACAAATTTTTAGGCAAATTTTTAAGCCGTAACAAGGCAGTTATTCATTTTTTCTTGTCATTCACATCAACCGCATCCGTATTACGTGTGTGGGCGTATCATATACCATTAGACCTCTTAGTAGTAAATGATACAAGTTTAACTGGAGCAGTTCTCTAGTTCTAATGTCAACATGCAAATATCAGCTATCTGATCGCTGGCCAGTCTAGTCGGGTTAAGTTGCTCCTGTCGTGTTTACAGCGATGACGGGAATTGATTCGTCCCACGGCCGCGCGTGCCGGCTTAGACGTGCCTTAATAAAGGTCTACATACACACTAAAGTGAAAACACAAAATAAATATTTTGTAATAAATCTAAATCTTAAGAAGAATTTAGGTAACAATAAAAAGCTGTTAAGGCTATTAAAAATAAAAAGCTAATCGTAACGTTGGATTTTGTTTTTTTTTAATTGTCTAATGCATAATGTAAAAAAATAAAACCAATGTTATAAAAAAAATAATTGATTTTACAAATAAATTAAATTAATTCGTGCCATTAATGGCTACTACTTCAGTGTGTTCATTCATACACTCTGAAAATATAACTAATAAAACTAAATGTAAATTCAAAGCAAATTGTGCGATTGCGTTATGAATTCAAAATTAACTTACTGAATGACATTTAACATATCAGTTTTATAGATTTAAAAACCCTATGAAATTATTTGTCCTTACCTTCAAGTTGTTCCGGTAATGTACTGATACTTTTTTTATTAACCTGTTTTTCATATTGTATCTAATTCAAAATTTTATTTTGTAATAATAAACTGTAATGATAAAGAAATTATCTCATTTAAAAAATCTGTACTAATATAATAAAAAGGAAATTTTTGTATTTATTGAAATAACTCAAAAATTACTGGGCCGAATTTAAAAAAAAATCACCGATAGAAACGTAATTTATCTGCGAGTAACAGAGGCTGTTTTTTTTTAGTCTCTAATATCACGCGGACATAGTCGCGAGCAACAGCTAGTAGATAAAAAAATGACAATGTATTCATAATAATGGCATTCATCTAAATCAAACTATCCAAGCAGATAAACCTA